CAATTTGTTAAATGTCCTTATAATATATATATTTTTTTGGCTTCAGATTGTGCTTCACTTATTTTTATTAATTTATTCTAGTGCTTCCTCACTAGTTACATTAAATCTTACATTATGTAATTTCTCTAACATTTCTGTTTTTAATTCACCAGCACTACATGGTGCTAACATCTGATATAACTGTTCAAAATCCTTACTGCAATAGCTTAGAGTTCATAGTACTAATTTAACTCCACATGTTTGTTTACTTAAAGCATTTTTCCTATCAGAAATGCAATTTGTAATCCTCAATCACTTTTTAAGTACATAAAATATTAACTACAACATTTTTAAACTCACGCTATGATGTTCTTTAATGTCTCCTCAGTGTCTATGCTTTACATCTGAATCACTGCTTTTACTACAAATAGCTGTTGGTTCAGATGACAGCCTGTAGCTGACTTTAAGACAGATGACAAGTCAACTTAAGCCACAACAATTTTTTAGTGCACTTAAACATAATTTTATCTTTTAAAGCTAAATCTTGTTTTCTTCAAAATGTTACTGTTTTTTGTAATTTTTATCTTATCTGTTTAATATATATTTTTAAACATCTTCTCTTTTTATTCTATTAAACAATGTTTGGACTTCTTTTTTCTCCATTTTCCTATGCTTCTTTTCACTTTCAAAAATTAGCATTTTTGTCTCATAGATTTTCCTAATTCATTTTTCTTTAAACTTATTTTCCTTAAACATTTGATCATTAACTCTTCAATTAATCAATATTCATTAAAGTTTTTTCTTCTTATTCTTTATTTACTCAAATTATTAACTTATCTATTTTTTTCATACTGATTAATAAATTTATTTCCTGATCAATATAACTATTTATATCCATATGTAGTAATTTCTATGCTTCAGTTTTTTATTTCTTAATATTTATTAATATAGCTTCTAGTTGCGTTTTTTTATTACACAACTCTATTTATTAAATCTAATTCTATCATTGGTATTTCCTTATTTCATTTATCTTATTACATTACTTTATAATATTTCTATTTATTTAATACCTTATAATATATCTTGACTCTTTAGCTTCTATCTGTCCTGTGAAACTTTTGTTCTTAAAATAGACAGATTCTTACCACTCCTGAAGCAGACCTTCTTCCAGAATGTCGACATGTCAGGAATTTCAGTTCCCTCTTTGCCTAGTTCATACTTAAAACACTTCAAACACACAGAGATTATTCAGAAAAATGTTTAACTAGTATATTCTTCTTTTTATTCTGTGTCTTTCAAATGCAATATGTTGTCATTAATTTGCATATGCCGCGACACGATTGGCTCTCATCCATTCTGACAATAGAGAGCGAGAGCGGCGATTGGCTCCCGTCCATTCTCACAATAGAGAGCGAGTGCGGTGATTGGCTCTCGTCCTTTCTCACAATGGAGAGCAAGCGCAACGATTGGACGAGGAGAGAGGCTGAGACAGACGATCCTGATCCAGGTAGCGCCACAAGGACTTAGTGAAAGGTCACCTACAGTGGTAGAAACGCTGAACTTTGCTATATGAACCCAAATTAAAGTTTGCTGAAAGAGAGTCAAAAAGGTCACAGAAACACCCAAGCGTGGAGCTCGAACATAAGACCCAGAGATTAAGAGTCTCATGCTCTACCAACTAAACTAGCAGGGTTGTTGAGGACTTTGTTCAAGAGCTAGTTACCATTTACATCAATACCTTCCCTACCCATGACAATCTTCTGCTTAATCCTGATGTCATCTTGCAACGCTGGACGCTGGCCCAGGATCTACGCCCAAGTCACATGTTAGTAGTTGCAAGGCAGCAAAATGCTTAATTCGTCCCAGGGTGGGCTTGAACCACCAACCTTTCAGTTAACAGCCGAACGCGCTAAATGATTGCGCCACAGAGACTTAGTGGAAGGTCACCTACAGTGGCAGAAATGCTGAAATTTGTCTCTAAAGGTCTGCTATATGAACCGGAATGAAAGTTTGCTGAAAGAGAGACAAAAAGGTCACAGAAACACCCAACATGGGGCTCAAACCCACGACCCTGAGATTAAGAGTCTCATGCTCTACCGACTGAGCTAGCCAGGCTGGTGAGCACCTTGATCAAGAGCTAGACACCGTTTACATCTGTGGAAATATAAATTTCTAGCATCTAATTCCAAATGAACAATACTCTACGTATAACTGAAAAGTTATTTTCTTTGTTTTTTTTTAATTAAATCATTTCATTGACATGCCATATAGGAGGGACATTTAACCTTTGCCTTGCTGACTACAGACTTCATTTGTATGCTAAAGTGATGTAATTAATGGTTTCAAAGCATGGCTGTATCTATTGTATTCCCTGTCTCCAGAACATCATTTGCACATTGTTGTAATGATGTACTTATCTATTGATGAGATCAGCATGGCACCCAGACTTCATTTGCAACCATGGCACCCAGACTTCATTTGCATGCTTTGTTTGACTGTCCCCCATGACTGACCCCACCTACATGCTGTAACATGTATAAAATGTATTATGTTTTGCTGTGGAGTTGAGAGTTTGCTTTCGATGACGCCACAGCCACGCTGAGTTCCTCTTATTAAAAAGGATTCTGCTTTGAAGACAACCGAAAGATTCTCCCTGGTTTTTTGTGGGCTCTTAGAAGTTTACAACACATCAATAGCTTCCCTACCCATACAAATTTTCTGCTTAATCCTGATTTCATCTTGCAACGCTGGACAGAATATGGCCCAGGATCTATGCTGAGTGCACGTGTTAGCAGTTGCAAGGCAGCAAAATGTTTAACTTGTCGCTGGATGGGCTTGAACCACCAACATTTCAGTTAACAGCCGAACACGCTAACCAAATGCACCACAGAGACTTAATAAAAGGTCACCTACAGTGGCAGAAACGCTGAACTTTGTCTCTATAGGTCTTCTATATAAACTCGATTGAAATTTTGCTGAAAGAGAGACAAAAAGGTCACAAAAACGCCCAACGTGGGGCTCGAACCCACGACCCTGAGATTAAGAGTCTCATGCTCTACTGACTGAGCTAGCCAGGCTGGTGAGGACTTTGTTCACGAGCTAGTTACCGTTTACATCAATACCGTCCCTACCCATGAAAATTTTCTGCTTAATCCTGATGTCAACTTGCAACGCTGGACAGAATATGGCTCATGATCTATGCCCAGTGCACGTGTTAGCAGTTGCAAGCAAAATGCTTAACTCCTCCCTGGGTGGGCTTGAACCACCAACCTTTCAGTTAACAGCAGAACATACTACCCGATTGCGCCACAGAGACTTAGTGAAAGGTCTCCTACAGTGGGAGAAATGCTGAACTTTGTCCACCAGGTGGCTCTGTTGTGCGTAATTTTTACACATTTTTGTATCTAGTTAAGTTTGGTTTCTAGTGATAAAGAAATTTTCATTTTGTTGTAACTGTAGAGGAAAAAGGTGTTTTCCTATACATTTTAAATTGATAATTTCTCAAAGTGTAAAATTATAAGAGATTATGTGTGTAATTGTGTATAAATTGTCAAATTTACCAAATGTAATTACATAAATTATTAAGAAAATAATTCATTCGACCTCACAATGCTGCTCTGTATTGATGAGGGGGTCGAATGTGCAGTAAAGCCAGAAGACAACGTGTTTGTGTTAAATTGTCTTCTGCAGGACTAAATAAAGTGGAGGAAAGCAGCGCTTGGTATCATTTGAAGTTATTGAGTGAAAAGCAGATCAGTTACATATGGTAATACACAGGTCTGTGCTTATAAACATATTATGTACTGCTGTATGGTAACGTGTCATTTGTTTGTTTCGGTGGTCTTCATTTTAATGGTTTTTAATTTGTTTTTGATTCGGGGGTCTTTCTGGGGACGCGCTGCGACTACTAGCCCGACAGTGGAAACGCAACATAATTTTGGCCTCATTACTCATCTCCCGGGCGATTGGCCCGGCCCGATAAAAGCCCTGGCTCGCACTGGCCCGATAGTGGAAATGCGAATGTAACATTCTATACATTCTATAATGTATAGAATGTTACATGTTGGTTTCATTTGAGGATTGAACCCAGTTTCTTGGACTCAAAGCTGGGGCTTTTCCCAGCTTAGCTAACTCCTCAACATATGAACCCAAGAGCACAAAATTAAAAAGGGAACTTGAGGCGTTTAGTTTCAGAAACAAGAAACAACTGATCTTTATTTGAAAAATAGAATACAAAGTACAACAGAAATGATCGAAGCAGAGCTTCCAGTGAACAGGCAAAACAAATCTGACACAAGGGTAAAAAAACAACAACAACAATAAAAATAAAGTGTCACTTAGCTTCTCAAGAGAATCGGGCGAGCACTGGGCAGTAATGGCTCAAGACTGAACACACTAGCTTTTTACACACAAACTTTTATAGGGCAAAACACAGGTGTTGCTAATCTAGCTTGAGTGGTGGCACAATGTAGATGGGAAGAGGAGGAATACAGCTTAATTAACTTTTACATAGATGACTTTAATACATAAAATAAGTAAGCTGACCAAAACTCTTACGGGGAGAAGACTTTATCGAAGACAATGAATAGTGCAGTTCCTCAGCAGCGATGTTAACTCATTGGTAACTTAACCCAAAGTGAGACATTACTTTATAACAAAGGATGTAACCCTCAGAGATCAGCCTACTTCTTTGGTTGGGTCACAACTCTTGAGTTCCTGTAGGTCATTTGGTTCACACCTTTTCAGATGCAGATACTTGTTTGCATATGAAACAAGTCATACAATCTATCAACATATAGAGTTATTTTGGGTTCTTGCAGCCCTGCAGGTGTTCAAAGGATTTCATCTTCAGAAAACTTGATATGTATTCAAAATTTCACACTTGTCCTGGTAAGAAACTCTGGTTATTTATAGTGAGTCAGGTATCATCTGATTGGTAAATCATGTTTTAGCTAATGCAGGACCAGCCGTAGACAATCATAAGCATGTGATCCTCTCAAAAGTAGTATAAATAAATTTCACTTGAATGAACAGCCAAACTACATGAAAAAGCTGCTGTTTTGAATGTACCAGTGTTTGTGTGGACAAGGCCTCAATTTTGGGGACTCTGCTCTCTAATGTGAAGCTTTAGGTGAGTGCTGAGGCTTCTTTTACGTTTAAAGCCTTTTCCACACTCACTGCATCTAAAAGGGTCCTCTCCTGAGTTAATCTTCCTGATGTGTTTCCTGATGGATTCTTTGCGTGTGAGACTCTTTTCACACTGATCACATGTCAACACTATGGTTCCAGTGTGATTATCCATGAGGTTCTTGAGGCTAGCTTTGGTTGTGAAGCGCTTTCCACACTGAGCACATGCAAACGGCTTCTCTCCAGTGTGAGTTCTCATGTGGTGTTTGAGTGTGCTTTTATGTGGGAAAGTTTTCCCACACTCTGTGCATCTGTAAGGTTTCTCTCCAGTATGAATCCTCATGTGGTTGCCAAGACTTGTTTTTTGAATAAACCTTTTCCCACACTGTGTGCATGTGTGAGGTTTTTCTCCAGTGTGAATCCTCACGTGGATGTTAAGGTCATGTTTTTGAGAAAAATGTTTCCCACAGTGTGTGCAAATAAAACTTCTGTCTCCAGTGTGTGTTCTCATGTGGACTTCAAGGGTGCCATTTTGCTTAAAACTCTTTCCACACTGGATGCAAGAGTACGGCCTCTCCCCAGTGTGAATTCTCATGTGCGCCGCAAAGTTTCCTGATTGATAGAAGCTTTTTCCACACTGTTGGCATGTATACGGCCTCTCTCCAGTGTGAATTCTCATGTGCACTGCAAAGTTTCCTGGATGATAGAAGCTTTTTTTACACTGTTGGCATGTGTACGGCCTCTCTCCAGTGTGAATTCTCATGTGGGTTGTAAAGCCTTGTTTATAAGTAAAACTCTTTCCACACTGTTCGCAGGTGTAAGGCCTCTCCTTAGTATGAACTCTCATGTGAACATCAAGGTTTGCCTTTTGACTGAAACTCTTTCCACACTGTTTACAGCTGAAAGGCTTCTCTCCAGTGTGAATTCTCATGTGGTTTTCAAAGCCTTGTATGTGACCAAAACTCTTTCCACACTGTTCGCAGGTGTAAGGTTTCTCCCTAGTGTGAACATCAAGGTTTGACTTTTGACTAAAACTCTTTCTACTCTGTTTACTGCTGAAATTACACGCAGATTTGGATTTCCGAGGTCTTCCACGAGATGAAGTCTTTTTATTCAGTGTAGGTTTTTCATCAGTCATTATTTCTTGGAGTTTCTCTTCCATTTCATTCTGTTCATGAGCCTCTTCTTTCAACACCATCAGGTCTTAAAAAAAAAAAAAAAAAAAAAAAAAACATTGTTAACTTTAGTACGAAGACACAAAGTGACAAGCAAAAGATGGATGTTTCATCCAGATATTAAAATGACTTTACCATTTACTCTGCATCATGTGGTTTTAAACATTTCCTTTCTTATGGAACACAAAGAAAGCCAGCATTTTTTCACAATATCTTCTTTCGTGTTTAACAGAATCCAGAAACTCGTAAAGGTTTAAAACCACATGTAAAACATGAGAGTAAAATGGTATCCCTTTAAAGGGTTCCTTTTATGAACCTTTTTTTACAAGATGTAAAATAAGTCTTTGGTGTTCTCAGAATGTGTCTGAGGTTTTAGTTCAAAATCAGATTATATACCTTGAAGAAAATATAATTTTGGCGGTCAAAGGAAAACCAAGCTCTTTTTGTGCCTGTGGCTTTAAATGCAGATGATCAAATGCACTTGCTCTAGATTATTCATGTTGTGTTTCCTCATGTGCATCTTTCACTGGATTTAAACATTTGTAACTTGCTTGGAAGACCTGATTGAGACAAATACTGCATGTTCATAGCAAGTACACATAACTTGCACCTATATTTCAGAGTTTGCATTATTGTAGATGTTATATAACAAATGTTTCCCAGTACTGGGTTGCAGCTGGAAGGGCATTCACAGTTTAAAATAAATGCTGGAAAAGTTAGTTGTTCATTCCGCTGTTGCAACCCCTAATGAATAAAGGGACTAAGCCGAAGAAAAATGAATGAATGAGCACATGCAAATGCTTAATGCCACGTCTGCTGTAAACTGGAGTGATGATGAGATGGCAAGATGACATACTTTACTACTTGATTTCATTCATTTCAAAAGTTTACACTTAACGAGCCTGGGGCTTTCCTCCCATTTGCAAGACGAAAGGGGAGTTCTCGAGAACTCTTTTGTAGTAGCTAATGAACAGAAAGTGATTGCTCTTAAGAGATAACTACCGATTTGAATTAGTCAAGTAAATTAAGTTGCATGTTTTTAGACAGTGGAAGGAAACCCATGTGAGCACCGGGAGAATGTGTAAACTCTGCACAGAAACGTCAGCTGGCTTGATAAGGACTAGTAACCTTCTTGCTATGAGGCATCAGTGCTAACCACTGGGAAATCGTGCCACCCTTCTAGGAGAGGAGTAGGGGTGGAAGGGTGGATTCTTTGAAACGAAGATGGCTGTGACATGGAACTCAGGGTATTTATAGTGGTTTAGGAATCGTCTGATTGGTGAATCATAAATTGAGTAATGCGAAACCAGCTGCAAGCAATCATAAGCATGTGATCCTCGAAATTAGTTCATAAATAAACTTCACTTGTACTTGTCTTTGTTTTCTTTGCTTTTTGCATGTACTGATGCTTAGATGAAAACCTACATAAAGACATTTAGATAATACATTAAGATATTTTAAATACCCGACAAGATGCAGAAATGCCATCTAAAAAGGTTAACTACTGTTTGTCCAATCAGGGACAGTGACAACGTAAATATACAAATAATAATGTTAACCCGGGGGTTTGTGACCTACACACGGCTTTCAGAGTGCATCTGAGTTACAGAGAAGTGCAGAGGTTTTTTTCTCTTATACGACCTGTGGTATCAAACATTTCACTGTCATTAAACACACTGTCTTTCTCCCCAGCGTGTGTGTTTGTTTTTCCTCTGTCAGAAGCGCGTACACAAAAGGCAACTCCCATTTTTATTCAAACCCTGCCTATTTTACCTCCACCGACACTATCACCCAAACAGAGCGAGACACACCCACTTTCCTGACTTTTTCCAAACTAGAGGTATGCAAACATCCTGCTGAAACGGGGGGGTTTCATGGCCCTTTAAAGTTACTAGTGACTCGAATAAGCATGGATGGTTCAAGTAGCAGCTCCAGCGATGAAGAAATGATTATTGTTCACAGAGCAATTGATATCCACGTTGATATCGACTCTGGGCATCTTCTTCAATGTGTGCTTGCACTGACAGTTTTGAACTTTAGCGCCTCCAAGTGCTGTTTACTGTAACTTCAGCAGCTCCTTGCACGTGAACAAAAGTGCCAACCTGATTAGTGAAGGTTTTAACGGCGCGCATCAAATAAAAAAAAAAACTAGCATGAGGCATTTCTTTAAAAATTATGCTTTTACGCCTGGCGATTTGTGCGTGGTGTGCACAATCACATTGACGCCCTTTATATAGTCACAAGGTGTTAAATTTTGACAGAAAACGTGAGCAAAAAACATCTTGGTGTGCGCGGGCCTTTACACTGTTTTCAGCATCTAAAAATTTATTCTGTAAAAAAGTCTCAAGCAAAAAGATTCCAATGGTGGCGCCTGCTGGTACATGAAGAATATGATCAATACTGACGAACTTTACACTCAAATGTTTGCATATCATCAGCATGCTGTAATCCATTTCTTGAGCAGCAAAAGTCATTTTTAAACTTGTTTGTTGGCCAGTTGTAGTCAGTGCAATGCTAAACATTATTGTTCCACTATAATTTGTTTTGTCTCATGTCCTCCCACAACATCATCATATAATTTAGAATACTGTAGTTCAATGTTTTATTATAATAATATTTTTTTGTGTCTATCTTATCGAGCATATTTAAAATTAGGGCATCCACGTTTTCTGACATACTTTAAACCAGGGTTAAAATTTTTGACTCAAGAAGGGCTAAAGGCTAAGGAATTTTTTAAATACCCCAGATGCAAAAGGGTTTTATTTGCCCTATATATAATTATATTATATATAAAAAATAAATAAATACATTTAATAACACAATAATAAATTAATATAAAAATACAGTATTTTATATATTTCTTAGCAAAAAAATAAATTATATTGTGTAAAAACAAGCTTTACTTGTATCCATACACTTTTTCCAACATAAACTTTTTTTTAAATGTAAAAAATAAAAAAAATAAAATAAACAAATGTTTTAAATGTTTTTAAAACTATAATTAACTAAATCTATGCACAATAATCTGTCCAGGTCAATGTCCTCAGCAGTAAATACAAGGAGCACATTTAAACAAATATTATTGTAAGGAAAATAATTAAACCATTATGATAAATAGAGTTAAAATGACCTTTTTGAATAAAAAGTTTTATTGAGTTGAATTTGTTGGTGATTGTATGGGTTTTGGCCAGATTGGGTAGCAAAACATGAACAAAGGAAAATGAAGACTTGTTTATAAAAGACTTAAGACCTACAACACAATATTTCAGTAAATTTAAGACATTTTAAGACCCCACGAAAACCCTGTTTAAACACAATAGCCCTGGTAATTAGTTATTATAATAATGATTTAATTCTAACTCTAGCCAAAACTATCACTGTAATAGCAGATATCTTCTATGAGAATACTGTAGGTCAAATAGCGTCAGCTCAGTTAAACTTTTTTAATTGATTGTTTTTATTTATTTATTTTATATAGTACCAGTGCTCTAGGATGCTTTACAAACAGTAGGAGAACAAGAAAAGCAATAACCTTAAGAAGGTAGAGAAAATAGGAGACTAATAATACATAAAATAATGACAAAAAACATGAGAACAAGTAACAAGAAAGAAACTCATTCTGTGCTTTTGTGCATTTAAGAGAACTAGGCAGCACACTCAGGGCTGCGAGATGGATTTAGTATTCTTATTATTAAAATATATCTGAATGAGGATCAAATGACTGCGTCGGTCTTTGAGAATAAAAGTCAACCTGTTTGTTCCTGCAGATCTTCCTGTTTGACTGTGAATGTTTCTTCAATCTTCAGGTCTTCACTTTCTACTTTAATAAATGTCATCTTTATAACAGTGTGGAGATCAGTCGCTTCAGCAGGAGTTTTTCTCTGAGTTTGGACACTTTATCCTGTTTAAAATGAACAAAACAATGAACAGAAATAAGATAACTTCTCTTCAACACTTGCTTCAAATGAGCAGATTAAAGCTAGTACTTTATTTCTTATATATATTGATGTAAATTTAGAATGGACTAACATTAAATTAGACCTTCATTAAAACACTTATTACACACTGTTACATCTCTGTAACTTTTTTGAAACTTTATTCAGGTATGTTCTTAATCAACTTCTAAATGAACGAATGTGTGAATTGAAAACCAACTTTACCTCTATAACGTGTAGCACTTTTTTGCACAAGACAAATTTCCTCTCAGGCACAAAAAGTTTATCCTATCTTTATTCAAACAATAGATCTCATTACTGTGAGTGAAATAGTACTTAGTTGTATAAAATGTTAAAATAATATTGTCAACAAGGTACATAATTTAGCACTGAATAAAAAAAACCTTAATCAATCGGTTTATATAAGGGTAAACGCTTTAAAACAAACCTTTCTCCAGTTAAATCACGGCGCGGGGACAGCGCATGCTTATGACGTCACACACCACGCCAAAATAAAAGTCTTTTTTTGCCACTTACTGTTGCAGTCATGACTTATTGGCATTTCTCCCTCCACTTTCTGACATACACAGACACACGTATTTGGAGTTAATCAAATCCTCTACTCTATACATTTTAAGAAAATTTAAAAAACGTGTTTAATCACTAAGTCGAAGTGTTTAAAGCAAAAAATCTCAACGTTCTAAATGTATAACAAATAATCTGATGGGTGTTTTAAGCTGAAACTTTACAGACATAAAAGACTTATCTTAAATTATGAAAGGGAGGTAAAAAAGGTGTACTTCAAATAAAAACTATTCATTACTACTACATGTTTTAACTAGTCATTCATTATAATATATATTTTTTCTCTGCGTTTGGACACTTTATCCTGTAAAAATTAACAAAGCAATAAAAATGTCCTGTTTAAAATAAATAAAACAATGAACAGACACAATAACTTCTTTTCAACACTTGCTTCAACAGTTTCTTTATATGAGAGTAATTAACAAAAATAAATCAGGTAAGTGCGAGCAAGAAACAATAGCCACAAATAAGCTGATTAAAACTAGTAACATTATTCTATTTCTTATATATAGTGATGTATATTTAGAATAGAATGACATTATGCAATTTAAAAAATTAAACCTTTATTAAAACAATTAATTTACACTTTAATGCTGCTTTATTTAAACTTTAACAAATGTTGTTAATTATTTTGTTTGTTTTATTTATTTAATTGTCTGCTTACAGCAACGTTGTAGCACTCTTTTGCACAAGACAAGAATTTCTTCTCTGGGACAAATAAAGTTTATCCTATATTATTCAAACAATAGACCTTACTGTGAGTAAAATAATACTTTATTTGTATAAATGTTAAAATATTGTAAACAGCAGGTACATCTAGCATTAAATGAACAACCTGAAATTTTAATCAGTTGGATTACATCGGTGTAAAAGCTTTAAATCAAACCTTTCTCCAGTTGAATCACAGTGCGGGAGCGGCGCAGCTATATGACCACGCCAAAATAAAAGTCTTTTTTTTGTTTAGCTTATCCCCCTACTTACTCTTTGTCATGAATTATTGATACATTTTCCACTTTATACTTTATCTGCTCGCTGTTTTGTATTTAAGACCATCAATCTTTATGTTAATTGAAAAAAAAAAGCATTTACCCCCCAGATCTTCACCTTCAGGTAGGTTGATAGGAGGTTGCATTTTCTTTAAATGATTGCATTTCTTTATCCATAGCTTTAACTCATTCACTTGCATTCAACTGATGTTGCCACCTCTTTGTATGTTTGAATGGGGAAACATCAAATTCTCCCAAACTGCCTGCCAGGTTCCAACCTATATATGTATTAGGTTGAAACTTAACTAGGTTAACTTGGGTTGAAACTGGGCTACGGTCCATTTGTCAGGATAAAAACAATATTCATAACCAAATAAACAAACAAACAAAAAACTAAATAAAAAGTTGTAATGAAGCTTTTAAAAATGACTGAAGAACTTTAATTCAACGTTGAACAGTGCATCCACGCATGTTTAGATTTTACATTTTATAATGTTAGCATTCAGATATTATTTGAGTGTAAATTCAGAATGTGCAACTCACCTTTCCAGTCTTCAATGAATATGTGGGATGAGAAATGGCCTCAGTGGGCTTTTCTTTGTAGGTTGTTGTTGGTAATAATCCCAATGTAGGAATCAACAATCGTAGTTTGTCATACAAAGTTGATCTCTTTACTAAGCAAAATAAGCCAATGACGTTTCTGTTAGGAACCCAGAATATATAGATACAACCCTGCTGAGCTACAGGACCTGGAATGTGATTGGATAAGACTCAATTGCCCTCCATTAATGCTGGTATAAAGATGCAAATGAGCAGTGGAGAGCAGTGAAGACTCAAGACACATACAGTGGGGGATGGAAAGTCCAGCAGCTTTACAAACCAGTTTTACAGAGAATTAATGATGTATTGGGAAAATAAGTTGACTTTAGCCATCTTCATTTGATTTGTTGCTTTTGTTTTATTGACCTTATTCTAAAACGCGGAAGTGTGCCTGTTTTCGCGATTGTCTTAGAACTTCCGATTCAGTCGCATATGGGAGAAATGACTAGGAATAATAAACGGCAGAAAATGGCCAAACTACTTGCTCAACAAACAAATGTTTGCATGACTACACAGACCAAGAAGCATAATATAATGAGAAAATATTAAATTGCAACATCAAGCAGCGTAACGAGCAGTTGTTAACGTCAAAAAATGAATGGAAGTGAATGTGACCGGAAGTCGCGAGACAAAAAGATTCAAATGGCAGCACCCGCTCGACATCTGAGAATAAGGTGAATAGGACTATTGATGGAAGCTTATTTTTTAGTTTGGCTGCTGCATGTTGTTGATAATATTGACACACTTATGTTGAGGTATTTTGATTTGAAAGACATTTCAATTTATTTTTTCCCAAGCCTGGTTAAAAGGTAATGCAAGAGTTGTGTGTTGTTTTTGTAGAAGCTTCTCAGAGTTGCTTGGCTGAAGTCTTTGTGTAAAGATGCAAATGACCATTGAAGACTCAAGCCACACTGATGTCTCAATACATACAGCTACATTCACTTATATAATAGTCATGTAAGTCTTATATTATTATACAGTGATATATTATCATTTGTTTAAAGAAACAATTTCTGAACTTCACATTGAGGTTTTATTTGTCAAGTTTAGTCAATATATTGATATGAGCTAACTATTAGCATTTTTTTTGTCATTTATTTATCACTGAACTAGTTCTTTATGTGAGTTTAGAGTCCTTTATTTCTCTTAAAGCACATGCAGCTCTTTACTGGTTTCTGTAAGACAGTCAACACACTCTTAACAGGTCAATTATTTCTTTCCAAAAGTGTCTTCACATTTTAACAATCAAAATGTAACTTGTTTCTGTGCCAATTTTGTTTTCTTTCCTCCGTTTTTTAGTTGAACAGAACATGTGTGAGCAGCTCAGCTCAGCTCTCTCGAAAGCCTCTTATTCACCTGGTATGTAACAAAGATGTTTTTCCCTCTGATTATCACTTGTGTTTGTGCATACAAATATGCGTAGACATTCACAAGAGAATATAAAAGATACTCTTTGACAAAACCTTTTCCGTTTAACACAGTAAAGCCATCACATACTGTCCATTTTTGCTACTTTTGTCCTTTGTAGATAATTGTTTTTTACATTAATCACAAATGGATGAGACACACTGTAACTTCAAACTCATTTGTGTTAATTCCAGGTGCTGTGAAATGTTGTTGTAACATCATTACAGGACCAAAACAGAACGTCCTCCTAAAGTCTTATTCGAAACGTTATTATATGACTAAAGGAGGACTATGTAGATACGTTCTGTTAATGTTAAAAAAGTTCTCTTTGTAACGTTATTAAGTGACCATTGCAGGACCAAAACAGAACGTCCTCCTTAAGTCATATTCATAACGTTATTATATGACTAAAAAAAGACCATGTGAAAACGTTCTGTAAATGTTAGAAAGGTTCTCTTTGTATCGTTATTATGTGACCATAGAATGGCCAAAACAGAATGTCCTCCTTAAGTCATACTGGTAACGTTATTTTATGACTAAAAGAGAACGTTTTAAGAACGTCCCTAATGTTCTGTAAAGGTTCTGGATTTTTATTACCTTTAGGGAACTTTCAGGGAACGTTGTGCAAGGTCGCGCGAACGTCGCCTCCTACCTGGCAATATCATCACAAGTATCAGTGCTATCAGTTTTTGTATTTCTATTTGTTGTAATGGCCTGTTGTTATTGCAATAAAAATAAATAAATAAATAAATAAATAAATAAATAAATAAAGCAGTGCAATGTGGCTGTATATCAGCAGTGGTGGAATGCGTGTTATAGTGTACACTAGGCACTCGAGAACGATTGTCCCTCTACCTGTTGTTTTAATCCCCTGAGAACTTTGGTCATCTTCAGAATGCAAATGAAGACACTTTAGATGAAATCTGAGAGCTCCTTCATCTGTCATACACAGCAAGAGTCCCGAGATGCTCAAAAGTCCAGAAAAGGAACCAAAAACATTGACTTTGACTGTGACTTTAGTGGTTAAGTTGTAATCGAGTTCTGAGAACATTTTGTGTGCCAGAAAATGTTGAAAAAAGCAGCCATGCCCAAAGTAGGCGCTGTTGAACCATATAGTGGCTGCCTTTTGACCCTGTAGCCTATTCTCTTCATTTCCATTCAGCAGAAGAAACTCACACAGGTTTGGAACAAGTAGAGGATGAAAAAAATGTCAGAATTGTAATTTTTATGTGAACTACCCCTTTAATGCTTTCGTAAATTTAATATTATCACTGAAGATTGCTAAAGAATGGCAGGAAACGTGGAACAGATTATAAGAGACGACAATTTATATGAAACAATAAGAAACCCTATATAGGCCTATAGAGGTTGTAGAAATAGAAGAGGACATAATTATGAGGATGAGATTTGGACTCAGATATTAATAGGATATTAATATTAATGTGTAGTAGACATGCAAGTCATCATGAACTGGATTAAAAAAAGTTTCTCAAAATTGGCTTAAAATGTTTAGATTAAATTTTTTTGATCAACTTTAAATACTGAAGTGTGTGTTTGTGTGTGAGAGAGAGAAATCTAATCTATTTTTTAAATATTTTTTATTAATCTTTTTATTTTTATTAATTTATTTTTAATTTCATTAATCTATTTTTATTTTATTTATTTCTGTGTTTTCTCTGTATTATATTTTATATCCATATTTGTTTGCACTACTGCCCTTTTTTCATTGTCTTGTTTGTACACAGCGACGCTGCACTGCTTTGACAATACAAATGTACAGTTATTTGTCATGCCAAAAAAGCTCCTAAAATGTGTAATGTGTGAGAGAGAGAGAAAGAGAGAGCAGAAATATTATAAAGTGAAAAACATGGGAGAAATGTATCAATAAGTCATGACTGGAACAGTAAGTGGCAAAAAAGCGAAACAAAATAGACTTTTATTTTGTCGTGACGTGTGACGTCATCAGGCGGCGCCGCTTCAGCGCTGTGATTCAACTGGAGAAAGGTTTGTGTTTTTAAACGTTTACGGATATAACCCGATTTAATTAAAGTTTCAGATTTTTTTTTCCGATGCTAAATTATGTACCTGCTTTGGACAATAATATTTAAGCCCTTTATACAACGTAGTACTATTTTATTCTCAGTAGCAGAGGGCTATTGTTTGAAACCGAAAAGAGTGTAATAGTGTTTTAAAGCAGGGTTTCTCAAACTTTTCTGATAAGAGGTAAAGTTGGTTTTATATTCACACATTCGTTTA